TAGTTCAACATACATAAATCAAAAAATATAATACACCATATTAACAGAGCCAAGGAAAAAAATACGATCATCTAAATAGATGCAGAAAAAGCTTTTGTCAAAGTCCAACACCCATTCATGATAAAATAAAAACCCTATAGAAAACTAGAATAGATAGTTTTTATCTCAGTCTGATAAAGGCCATCTGTAACAAATGAACAGCCAACATCATACTAATGGACAAAAATTTTAAACTTCCTAAAATCACCAACAATACAAGGATGTCCAGTGTCTCCACTCTTATTCAACATAGTCCTGGAAACTTTAGCCAGAGCAATTAGACAGGAGAAGAAAATAAAAGGAATAATTATAGGAAAGGAAAAAGTTAAATTATCCTTATTTGCAGATAACATGATACTCTACATAGAAGACCCAAAAAGCTCCATTAAAAAACTGCTAGATTTAATAAGCAAATTCAGTAGTGTAGTTAGATACAAAGTCAACACTCAAAAATCAATAGCCTTCCTGTACATGAATAACAAACTCACTGAGAGAGAAATTAGGGAAATGGCACCTTTCACAATAGCATCCAAAAAACAATGAAATACCTAGGAAACAATCTAATAAAGGATGTAAAAGACCAATACACTGAAAACTATGGTACTCCGAAAAAGGAGATTGAAGGGGATATCAGAAAATGGAAAGATATCCCTTACTCTTGGGTAGAAAGAACCAATGTATTGAAAATGGCCATACTTCCAAAACTGTTATACAGATTTAATGCAATTCTGATAAAAATTCCAACAGCATATCTCACAGAATTAGAGAGAATAATCCTAAAATTCATTTGGAACCAGAAGAGACCCAGAATAGGAAAGGCAGTTCTGGGTTACAAAGACAAGGCAGGGAGCATCACAATCCCTAACTTGAAATTATACTATAAAGCTACTGTGAGAAAATCAGTGTGGTACGGGCAAAAAACACAAACCAGACCCAAAGATCAACAGAATAGATTAGAAGATGCAGAAACAACTCCAGACATACTCAGCCACCTTGTCTTTGACAGAGGTGCCAAGCACATTCACTGGAAGAAAGATAGCCTCTTTATTAAATGGTGCTGGAAAAATTGGCTGTGCACATGCCAGAGATTAAAATTGGACCCATATCTTTCACCATGCACTAAAGTCAAAATGGATCAGAGATCTAAATACTAACACAGAAACATTAAATCAGCTGGAAATAGGTAAAAGTCTTTACACTGGTGTTGGCAAAGACTTTATGAATAAAAGCCCAGTGGCACAGGAATTATCACAAAAAAATCAACAACTGGGATCTCATCTTTTAAGAAAGCTTTTGCACAGCAAGAGAAACTAACAGAGTGAAGAGACAGCCCATAATGTGAGAAAAAATGTTTGCCAGCTTTTCCTGAAAGGATTATTATCCAGAATATATGAAGAACTCAAAAAAATCAAACCTCCTAGACTTAAAGAGCCAATCCAAAAATGGGCATCTGAGATGAATACACACTTCTCAATTAAAGAAATACAAACAGCAAATGAATATAGGAAAAAATGTTCAACATGTGAGTGATGCAAATTAAAACAACACTGAGATTCCATCTCACCCCGGAAGGAATGGCTATTATCAAGAAATCAATAACAAATGCTTGAGGGGCTGTGGGGAAAAAGGAACCCTTATCCACTGTTGGTGGGAAAGTAGACTGGTGCAACAACTGTGGAAATCAGTGTGGAGATTCTTCAAAAACCAGGATTGGAGGTCCCATTTGACCCAGCTATTCCCCTTCTGGGTATCTTCCCAGAAGAATTAAAAACCATTGTACAGCTATATTATGCGCACCCTGTTTATAGGAACACAATTTGTAATAGCTAGATCTTGTTAATAACCTAAATGCCCATCAACAAAGGGATGGATAAAAAAATGTAGTCTTTATATACAATGGAGTACTACTCAACCATGAAGAAGGATAAACTGGAGGCTTTATATGTAAATGAATGCAACTTGAGACCATACTCATAAGTGAAATAAAGCAGGTGCACATGTGTAAACATCATATTGCCTCCCTAATATGAGAAGCTGAAAGAGTAAATAAGATCCAAAATGTACAATAGATATTGTAAAATGGGAAGAAACTGTTCATAAGGAAAGAGAAACTGGGGGAAAGAGTCTGGGGAAAGGGAGAAAAGTAGGAAGGGAAAAACAAAAGAAAAGGCATTTAAGATAGTTATATACTAATTTCCCTTTGTTCTTGGAAAGAAAGGTTTGTGCTAATATTGTTTGGACAATTAAATGTCTGTGTCTTATACTCTGAATAACTAATTTAAAGATAACAATATGTGATCTATTAACCATTGTTGCCCTCCTATTATCTTGTTTTGAAATTTTGTGGGGTTTTTTCTCTTTAAAAAGAATAGTCTTCATACTTTTTGAAAGTTTGGTACTCATTTTGTCCAGTCCTCATTTTGTGATTTCAGTGTTTTGCTTACCATGTCATTCTTAGTTTTTCAGCACTTTGGCCAGTGATTGGGTTAACACCCTTTCTGTTCTCTTTGGTCTTGGGATTGCTGACTTCATTGACTTTCTTGGGGAAGGTAATTCTAGTAGAAGTGATGGAGTCGTATTTGAGGGCTCTTGCCTTTCCAGAGCTGGGAAATACTACGTAATTATGCTTTTTGTTCTTGATCCTTGAATGGTAAAATTGGAGATTTGGTTTATCTTGTGTGTTTTAGTCAGGACTCTCCAAAGAATAAGAACCAATAAAAGAAATGAAGATATATGTAGAGAGCTGTATTGTAAGTGATTGACTGTCATGCTATGGAGGCTGAGTAGTCTTGTGTTGCTCTGTCTGCAAACTGGAAGCCCAGGAAAGCTAATTGTGCAAGTTGCAGTCACAACCTAAAGATTTGAGAACCAGGAGAACTCATGATGTCAGTACCAGTCTAAGTTCAAAAGTCCCAAGTAGCAGGGGTACCATTGTCTGAGGGCAGCATTGGATGTATATCCCAACTCAGGCAGAGAGTGAGTCTGCCTTGCTTCACCTTTTGGTTCTGTTCAGGCTTTCAAAGATTAGATGAACCCCCACCCCATTGGGGAGTGTGACCTTACTCAGTCCACTGGTTCAGATGCTGATTTCTTCTGGAAACATTGCCATGGACATGACCTTTGACCCCTCAAGTGGTCAAATAAAATTAACCATCACAGGTCCACCTCTTGTCAACCTAGCACTGAGAGATATCTCCTTAAAGCGTACTTAATCTGCAAGTGAAGGCAGTAACATGACTATAGCCCCACTTAACATGACATAGCTATTCTGTGTACAACTAGTCCCCTGCTCAGAAGAGGAGATGAAGTCCTTCAGTGATGCTCACTCTTCTTTAATATCCTGTGACATAAATACTGTTACCTGAAATGAGTAACACTAAAGGTGGACACAGAGTCAGTCTCGTGTTAATGATAAGGGGATAAGTAAAGGGTACAGAGACCTTGCTTAGTGTACCTATAGTGCATCATGATGGAGCAGGGGAGGACTCCCTGCTAGGAACACCGTGGCTCTTGTCTCTGAGTGGCTGTGCGCTGAGAGTTGGTGCTTGTAAACACCTCCTTCTGCTGCCCACACCATACCCCTTTATCTTCAGCAAGCACCTCAGCAGGTCATGGATCTTCACCCAGTGAGGTGACCCAAATCTTCATTCCTGGAGCTCTAGGCCATTTGTAGTCTGGCCAGGACTGGGTTGTTCTAAGTTCCTGTTGACCTGAAGACGTCCTGAATTCCAGACTGTCTCTTCCTTACCTCCACTATGGAATAGTAGTCCTGTTTTCTGCTGGTCATCTGGATCCCTTCAGAGCCACACCCCTCCCAGTACACTAAACCCCCTCTTAGCTGTATGACTCAGAGACCTAAGGGGCCTGAAAACAGCAGGGACTGGGGCTATTGTGTCTCCTGGTGGAAGTATCACCCCTCTGGAACTAAGACCTCTAGGCCAGCAGAGCATAAAGTCATGTGGACAGAAAGCAGAACCTTTGCTGAGGGGTCACTGAGGGCAGTGGTGAGTGGGGCCACTCCCATTTCTACCCTTTGGTTCCTGGACTTGGGAGTCCTGGTCATGGGTCAAGCACTGCCCTATACTGCACATTGATTCCAGCCCCTCCTGGAGAACCTTCTTACTTCACCCCTGTGAGTGTTGGTGCTTGGCTGATGCTGGAACAGAGCTTTCAAAAGGCCCTTCCACCATTTCATCAAAGCCACCTGTTCAGAATGGTAGGGAAGATGGCAAGGCCAGTGTTTGTAATCCCAGCTCCTCAGGAGGCTGAAGCAGGAGGATGGCAAGTTGGAGTCTATCCTGAGCAGCTTCATGAGACCCTGTCTGAGCCATAACAGCAACAACAACTTTTGAAAGAGCTGGAAATGTAACTCAGTGTAAAGGCCCTGGTTCAGTCTCTAATACCAAAAAAATATTTTTAAATAATATGATTAATCTTGCTTGGTTTTGAATTTAAATGCATGAGTAATAAATGCTATGTGTGTTCTTGTGTCTTGCCTCTTCAGGCACTGTTAGGTCTGTGGAGTTTATTGAAGTTATGCCATTATTTAGTTCAACACCAAATGGATATTGAAAGCAATAGTGTGTGTGACTCAGCGTAAAGCGCACACTTTGTTCTGGGTCTGGATTTATGAACCTCTCTGCTCCAGCTGTGCTCTGTGAACCTCCCTGCATGTGTCTTACCTAGGTGGGGCTTCATCTACATAAGGGGTGAAATTGTGAGCCCAGCTTTTCTGGATGATGCCATGCCATCAGCCATCTCTCAGAGCAGTGGTGCCTGGCCCATCAGTGTGCAGGAGTGTCCTTATTGCCCCATCTCCTCGGTCACATGGGAATTGTCAGAGTGCTGTTTTCTGGCCATTGCGGGGCAGGTTCTTTCCCTGGTGAACAGAGGGTCTGCTGTGTTACTGGGCTGCCCACATCCTCTTTACTGCCTTAGTTTAAAATGTTCTTTTTCCACAGGATGATGTAATGATGCCACAGAGAGTGAGGCTGCAACACCAGGCTGCTGAGCAGCACCCAACCAGTGTAAGTGCCACCCCCACCGGGCCTCGGCCACCTTGGTGAAGTTCAGTGCGGCTCTTGAGGTGGGGTTTTCTTAGGGTAAAAAGAATGTGTGTACAGGGAGGGATTTGGGGTGGTAGCTCTCTAAGCACTGAGAGGTCTTCCTTGAAGAAGAGTGTGCTTCTCATTTTGGACAGCAGCTCTCACTTGAAAATGGATGTGGAAGGGCTGGTTGAATAGCAGCTGAG